TTCAAACTTTGAACCTTTCTTGAACACATCAAAAAGTCTGGTTCGAGTCTGGTTCGAACTTCAAATCTTTCTCGAACTCTTCAAAAAGTCTGGTTCGAGTTTAAGTATAATTCAAGTTTGAGTTCAAGTTGAGTTCAAGTTTAATTCAATATAAGTACAAGTTCAGTTCGTGTTGAGTTTTAGATTTGTATGAGTACAAGTATGAATTTGATATAGTTCAAAAAAAGTTTGTATATATTTATAATATAATATAATTTATTATTTAATATATACTAATACAGTTCAATATATATAAAGTTCAAATAAAATAAGAAAAAAATACAAATTAAATGTCTAATTTATCTTTTAAAGAATCCTGAGTTTATGATTTTAAATATTGATTAGCTCTAATTGTTTTTGGTGCAAGATTAAATCTTTTATTAGAAATCATAATTCCTTCAAAAGAAAAAAGTCATTCAGAAGATATAGAGTAGCAGGAATAACTAAATAATTGCAAGCCATTTTAGCAAGTCGAGGAAATTGAATTTGATGGGTTTTATAAAAAAGCAAAAACTTTTAATATTAAACTTATTTATAAACAAAATAAAAAATACTCATTTTTCACCAAGCCAAAATATCAATTTCTTTGTTGATAGATTTTTCAGATATATATTGTTCCAATTCATCGATATTATTATCATTATCATCAAAAAAATCTGCATCTAATTTAGATTTTAAAACATTTTTATGATTGCTATTTGAAGAAGAATGTGAAATAAATGAAGCTAAAGGATCATCAAGAATATATTCTGTTTCAAAAAGATTTCGCATACTATATAAAAAAAATATATTTAAAAAATTACTAACAAATAAATATAAAATAATACACTTACAGCAGTTTGATTTCATTAATATTCTTAATTGCAAATTTTTTTTTTGTAAAATAGTTGAATTTTCTTTGGGGATCCAAAGCAATATATATTATTGTCATCGTATTTGTTTTGGAGTAGTATTGGATTAATTTTTCTTTGATAGCTAGTGCTGCTGTTTGTATCTTTGCTATTGCAGAAGAGGTTTTTTCATTTTCTACATCTTTAATATGATTGATAATTATATTAAAGAGGTATTATCAAAAAAATTGTACTGTAAGAACTAGCTGAAATTTTTTTGGTAAGATTTTTGAATGGTTCGAAAAATTGGGCTATTTGTTCTAAAAATATTCATTGCAAAGGGAAAATCATATATTGGTAAAATTCATTATACGAACAGATTAATGAATTTAGAGCCTATAAAATTATAATATTAATATAAATATAGTTAATTTTTTAAAATAAAAACAAGATGTTCCAAAATTTTTAAATTGAATATAAATAATTCTCTTCACAGAGATGTTAATAATCGTTAAGAATTAGTCAGATTTGACTGAATTAATTGAAATTATCCAAACAGTATACAATTCAAATTAATTGTAATTAGTTAATAATTATAATCAGTTATTGTATTACAGGTTATAAATTATAAACAGTTCTAATAATTCTAAACAATTCTGATCGATTCTAATTGATTATCAACATTCTACAAAAAGTATTTCAATTTAAAAAATTCTTGATGCAACAAAAGCTAAAACTTACCGGTTTCAAATATAAACCATTTTTTATCATATCAAAAGAGAAGTTCCAGCGAGTAAAACAATCAAGAATTGGTTTTAAAGATTTTATATTGCAAGCTTAACATGAATTTTCGAGCAATTCAAATCATTGTGATGAGAAACAGATTGCAACATGTAGTTCTCTGAGCTTTAAAGTCATTAATATATATAGTTAAATAATATAGCAGATAATACAGAAAATAACAGTTATACCTTATCAACTTCTTCTTTAACTTCAAATAGGGTTGCTTGGGTAGCTAAATTTAAAATATGCAAAAAACAGCAGAATCATAAGAGATCTGAGTTCCATCTTACATATGAATCTTGAAGTTTTATTGTTAGTTCTCACACAAATATATTATTATTTGAGATATTATCCAATATGACAACTAGCAGCTAATCATTTTTAAAAAATAAAAGATAAATATTGAATATAAAGATAAATATCAAATATAAAAGATAAATTACTTACCTTAGAAGCTATATCGAATTCATATAATATATCATAAAAATCTTCAGCTATATTTGCACCTTCATGCTTGCCTTTTAAAGGAGCAAAGTTGATTACTAATTTTTGCATTTCCCAATTATCATTAATATAATGCGCTACTGCTAAAATAAAGATCTTGTTGTTAGGAGATGTCCATAGATCAAGAGTAAATAAAATTTTTGATTCAGCAGCTGCAAGATATAGCTAAATAAAATAATGAGTTTTGCTTATAAATATCTTAAAATATTAATAAAATATACCTTGATTTCATTTTTTCCTTTACTATATAAATGCATTATTGTATTTTTGATTGTGTTAGCAGTAGGTAATTTTGCAGAGAGATTCTAGTATTCGAAGATTTTGATTAGTTCAGGATCTTCTGTGATTAATAATGAATATTGATAATTAATTAATCACACAGCAATCATGTCACATAATTTTTCATTATCAATAGGTTCGCTTAATTCCACATTTTTTATACTGGATGATAATGACTTTTAATAAAAGTACTGTTTAAAAAATATAATTAAAGTATTATTTACAACATATTAAAAATATTGCTTTAAAAAGTAATTTTAAAGCACTTT